CAACATACCGTCTTAATGCTTCACCAAACTTTGCTGAAACCAATGTCTTACTCAATAGGTACTAATAAATTATAAATTAAAAAGTTTAGTGACGGCATAGTTTGTACAATTAGACACATGGGTATATACAAGGCAAAATAATGACGACGGTTAACATTTTACTTTATTTAACCTTTGACATATTTATAAGGTCTATTAATTTATATCACTGCAATACACTTAGAGATCTTTCGTAATACAAACGTGAATCTCGATTTATCTTATTTTTATTTTGTAATCTATGAAGATAACTCGGTAATCTACAAGGAACAAGTTGTAATCGTTAATATATATTTTATCAACGATATTACTTGATAAGTTAAAAAAATAATGACAGCTTTATGCATAAACAGATTGATATAAAGTGTTAGTACTTTGAAAGGGAAAATGCAATTCTTTTCAGTTTGTTAATGGGGCTCTACAATTTATTCGCACTAGTAGTCGACAAATCGTAAATATGAATTTGAAAGCAGCAAATATAAAACGTGAGATGGTCAGTAACTGTCATTTTCGTAAAAACATAGCAAGTAGGTGACCACAATGAAACCCGTATACATGTTTCAGTAAAACTTGTGTCGTTCCCTTTCTGGACGCAGTTTTATAAGGAACTTTGAGTATGTTCCTGAAATAACGCAAAAGTACTAAGAATATTACAAAAAGCAATATATAGCATTTGTTGAATGATATTAGGGAAGATCTCTATTAAAACAGGGCATTGTTCACCAGTTTCTATAACGATGATGATGATCCCAAAAGAAGATGTAAAATAATTAAAGCTAACTTTTACCATATCCAGGTCATTAAGGTTAAAGTTTTAGTTTCTAGTACAATAATATTAAACAGGTTTTGTTTAATTATATTATTGCATGTATCGGTATATTTCCAGTAATGTTATTAATACTAATAATGAACCTATTACTTGATACCATTTATGAACAATATCAGAACAGTAGCTCGTATGTTCCGGTTGTCAGCACAATCAAGTATTCAAGGCCAGTGCCTGGCGTCTAGTTTTCAATCAAAGGCACATTCACGTGAAAACTGCTTTGTACGTCTTACTAGTTCGGTTAGTAACATTTTATGTATATTTAATTGTTAATCAGAATATGATAAAATCATTAGCACAACTTCTAATATATACCTATGGAATTACAAGAAAGGTTTACTAAAGCATGTTAAAAAAGTTGTATTCGAAATTTTAAGTTACAAGTCTCAATTGTTAGAGTGCTTCAACTTCCAAGTAATGGAGAAAGTATTTTATTAAAGTAGGTAAGTAAACTTTGTGATTATTGAAATTACTATGGTTTTAATAAAGTAGGTCCAACAAAGGTTAAGTACTTTTCGTTAAGATAGACTGATACTTTTCTTATCATAAGAAAAATATGTAGAACAACTCATGAGTGTTGTTTTCCTTAAATTTTATATGTTTTTGAAAGGAGGAACCTATATAGAATTAATACAATTAAGGTAGATAAGTTGAAGTTCAAAATTTTAAGTACAGAAATAATGCACAAGGCTTATATCACAAGTTAATATTAATACTCGTAGGCAATGGAGTACTTATTTTTTTATAGCATGATTTTTACAATTCAGACTACAAATATAGTAACAAAATGAAAGAATAATTTGAAATTTAGACTCTGACTCTATCTAAATGTTACACTACTTGAAAAATAAGAACGATACATAAAAGTTATTAATAAATACTTAATTAGACTTGCGTTATTAGATCAACTGAAGTATAATATTGAATAGTATAATACAAATTATATGAAGTGTAGCAAATCACTCATTAAATCATTGTATGGGAATTGCCATTATTTTAAGACATAGAGGAAAGTAGGTCGTAACAATATGATTTTGAATGTCTGATGTTGCAGGGTATCATTAGTGGTCCATCAATCGTTGTGATTGATAGCTGATTGATGAGTATCGATCATATTGCAATCAAAGATGTTTGCAATAGGGGAATTAACATATTGGACTTATTGAATAAGTTTAAGTGCAGTCAAATTGTTACAAAATCTGTCGTTGCGGCAAAATGACAAGGCTTGATTTTAGTTTGATTAATCGATTGTATGCAGTAGGTAGGCTACCATTCGTAATATAATTCAAACAATGTATTTTAATAATTTATTGTTTTATTAAATTTATCAATAATTGAGTGATTGATATTATTGTACTTGACTGTGCAGTCAAAGTTCAGTTATATAAATTAAGTAGTAGATAGCTATTATTGCAATTGCTGATATTTTATCAAGTGTGAAATGTGAAAATTATTATAACCAAATGGTACCTACTTACATATACATTACTATAGTAACAATGTAATTTTTACAATCCTGCATTTGTAACACGACTTTGGATTTGTTTTCTCGGGTACATTATTGAACTTGATAATAAAAAAAGGCGAGACTGAGCTACGCACTTTTTGCAGTCTGCCTCTGGTGGTACAGATGTATATAACAACATAGCCCATAGGAATAGCAAAGATACCCTTGGAGCTGCATATGTATGTTGACGGTTGTTACTTAATTAAGGGGTCCGTCAGTTGATTTGCTAATATCATAAATAAATCAGGCTGTGTACAATCTTTATAGCTCTATGTTTTATAGACATTGCATTTGTCAATAACAGTGGCGTTTATAATCAGCGACAGTGACTGCGTGCAATGACTCGATACTAATCGCAGACATAACGGACAAATGCTTTACGTTCCATTATTGTGGAAACTCTTATCTAGTGATATTAGTAACTGATGCTAATTTTAGAACGGCGACAACTGGATGACCTATACATTGCAATATTTGCACTCATTGCCATTTCGAATTGATTACTTGTTCAACAGACCAACGAGATTAATTTCATTTTTAAATACCTAATTGTTATGAAAATCGCATGGTAATAAAAAGTGTAAAATAATAAAATATATTATTTATTATCGTAATTTAATTTCTAGTACATAGTTCATTCAGGGTCAAAAATGTATTAATAATAACAATTTATATTATTTTTAAGCGCTCAATAAGTCGAATCATTGGAAAACAAATATTATGACAAATATTTCTTTTTAATTCGATGTACGGCTTTTTAAAAAACCTTCAAAATAATTACATTCAGAAAATACTAGTTTTCAAATACTTCTAATCCTAAATTCTGATTACTATGACATTGGTATTTGAAACAAATAATGTTTAATGCTTTTATTATAAAATATGCTTATGATCAACAGTTTAAAATTTAATGAGTGAATAAAAACGCCTTTATTTTTCACTTTTATTTTACTATAATAATATAGTAATATAATACTATTGGAGAAAGTGTATAAAACATGCCGTTTAAATGTTTCTATGGTTCTTTGATAAATAGGAATACAAACTCAATAAGCATATTCTTTATGAAGGAGAATATATATTAAAGAAGAAAATAAGGCACATTTTGTAGGTGTAATGCGAAGTAAAAATATTTCCATATGAAAACTTGATAATTGGTGAACAGGTCGCGTGAAAAATGTGACAATCGACGAGTTTAATGTAAGCGCATCGGGTTTGCGCCACTGTCTCTTACCAGGTGTAATATAAATTTGTTCAGTGACCTTGACACAGTAGTGTATTAGAGTTTCTCTCAGATAAATGGGGATACAGAGTTTTGTTCATAAGATAGCATGACTAGCACGGGAAAACCTATTGGTGTCGTCTCGCGTAACATCATCGTAAGACTCATTACGCTATTCGTTGCAACATTTTCTTGCCTATACATTATACATAGTTTTTATAAAGAAACAATTTAAAAGAATGAACTATTATTTGTATATAATTTTCTTAATAATAAAAATGTAAGGTTATTATCGGAATGCAAACTCTACCCAATGATTGCATTTCTTACGATATACCAGTATAAAGAGTAGTCGTATATATAAATTAAACTAATATTTAGCCAGCAATAGAATGTATGTACACATCTCTAGACGAACATATCTCTATCGTGTGTGCAATATGAATGATTTATTTTATTTATTCTTTCTAATTCTTTCTAATTCTAATAACATATACAATTGACAATGCTATACAGCATTCTAACCACTTAGTAGATAATGTCATATTATTTACGCACGAACATTTATATTGTAGATAAAAGTTACAGATCTCCTGAATCATTACTTATAATATTAATTACATTACTGATTGGCTGGAGACATTTTATCCAGGAAATTAATATTTCATAGATATATTATAGAATATATTCAATTATTCCAAATGTTTACTAAAGTAATCACTATACACAGCAATCACGTGCCAGTTTAGTTACAAAAATTTTAAGTGGTAAAGTATAGTGTGAATATGTATACTACGTAAATGAAAGGTTATATTTACACACTGTTTATAGTTGGTAAAATGGTTTCGTAATAAAACTTTGATTGTTACAACCTAATGGATTAATTTGTATTCGTTAACTATTTAAATCTATGGTAATGTTAGCAAAGTAATAAGTTAGAACCGTAAAAATAGCTCGTTTTAAAGTGAATAATTAATATATATTAATAAAATATGAAACGACTTAATTTTTTATATGCAAATTCAAAACTTTTCTACCGAAAGTGGTCTATAAACTATGAAATTATTATGAAGACGGCCTATTTCTTAAAGATATATTGTACTCGTTACATTAAGAAAATAGACATAATACTTACTTTTAGTTCAGTGGTTATTTCAAATATGGCTCACTAGTGCACACACGTTCAATATTAGTTGACTCTATGTTAGGGTTTAAACATGCTACCATTACTGTTATATTTGTACAGATTGCCCTAGTAAAGGTTCATCACATTTATGACATACGTATTCGTATTATTTAACATATATTCAATAGCAGTAACTGTTATTACATTGTTGATTTTGTGGCATAATCAAGACGATGGATGAATTCTTAACACAATATTATAAAAAAAAATGTTTTTGTACCTCCAGCTCGAAATTGAAAGCGCAGTAAGCCCGTATCGGCTAGTCAGTGTCGACAATGGCTCGTGATGTCGCCGGCATCTTGTCCGCCCGTGCTCACCTCATTACAGAACCTAGCTCCGATGCACCACCCGATGCATGCCCTGAAATTACAAAAAAATATATCATATAATTACACTATCTCATCATATCGATTGAATTGCATAATATATATATTCTCGCTTCACTAAAATATATACTGTATATATGTAAATAGTAAAAGTTTAAAGAATAATTTTATTTGCATCATAAACTTCCCAAAATTAAGTCAACACTATATACCTGAACTCTTCGCAAGTTATAATAATTGTAACCTCATAGTGTATGTCTTGTTGGTCGCTCAAATAAATAAATAAATAAATAAAATCTTTAGATTATGGAACGTTGTTTGGTACTTGTATTACGACCACATTTTTCAGTCACAATACCTTTATGGTCAAAAATAATGTATGTATGTCATAAAAGTCAAGTAAATATACATGAGACTACAACAGTACCTAATTTTTATTTATTATTATAACATTTACCGAAATTATAAAAGAATATTGCATTTGAAAAATAAAAATTCTGTATCATTAAGAATTTATCTTTTCACAAGTAAACTGGTTGATAAACATATAAGAAATTAGTGTAGGTAGTTACTTATTAAATGTTTCGCTTTAAATAATTCGTCAGCCGTCTAAGTAATATTAATTAGCAAATACTGGGTTAGTTCACTCCGTGACACCATTTCCATATTTTACATAGACAAGGTTACATGATTTGTACAAGCATATAATGTGTGTTGCTTTCTAAGGTGCACTACCTACTAAAATACGAGCGAAAGTTGTTTTTATTGTACTTGTCTTTTATTATAAAGTAGGCGACATCTTGTTACATATATCATTGTGATTATGTTAATAATTGTAATATAATATTTTTAACATACACTTAGGTGTTACAAGCTAATTAAAAATTACATAATGAAGATGTATTTTTTTATGAAGAAGAAAGAAGCTGATGGCTGTCTGATCAAAAGTTACGAGTATAAACGTCGCTTATATATGTATGCAACACCGCGGGTATACATATATGTACGTGATACGGCCAATGCGTTGCCCTTCTGGAGTATTAAGATGTCTCGCTTCTTATTTTGTGATTTCACTGACTTATTGCCGGCCTGCCATTAATTCACACAATCACACGGTTCAACCAAAACTCAGCTTACAAAGCAAGCTTTTGAGGCTGTAATAGTATGAGTTTGGAGGCTGAAATAGATGACAATGAGGTATCCACGCAAATAACTTTTAAGAAAGTCTACTATATTTTTATATCATTCATTATTTTATATCATGTTTAATATCATATGTTAACTAATATTTTCTAAAATATTCACCTTCAATTATTGCTTTAGGGATAATCATTATTACATAGTATAAAACAAAGTCGCTGTCACTGTCTATCCGTACCTATGTATGCTTAAATCTTTAAGACTACGCAACGGATTTTGAAGCGGGTTTTTTTAATAGATAGAGTAATTCTAGAGGAATATTCATATATATAATACATATAGACCTGTGCGAAGCCGGGGCGAGTAGCTAGTGAACAATATATTGATATTTTAGATTGCAGTCTGCCAAAATTTACAGAATTAAAAATAATATCTTGAATTTTAGGAATGTTGAAATTGTGTAATTATATCTTTATATGTATTACCTTATATTAGTTCCAACACCGATTTAGATAGTCTGTTCTGGTGTTGTAATATTGATATAAATAAAAAAAACATTTCTAAATGTTATGATTGTATTTTTTTACAGATTCTTTTTGTGTTTTATTATAGTACGAGTATATATCGCTGTCGTATTAGTCGCATATGTTTATTTTCTCCATATATTTTCTCTAAATACCCTCAAAACCTATCTCGTAGGTACATTATACAAGTACCTGTATCAGCTTCATATGCATATAAGCAGTTTTCAAATAGATGTTTGAGTAATTGAAAAACTAAGAGTTAATAATTCGTAGCCTAAGGAATCATTCATGATCACTCGATAATGCTCAATAAGATTATATAGGGGTCAACATGTCTGCTTGACAATATCGTGTCAAAATTATTACCGCATTTAGCGTTAGTTTGATTTTTATATAAGATCGACCTACTAATAGTTGTGATAGTGACTATAGTGATGACAATCTAATGGTAAAGTACAGACTGTGTCGATAACAGAAATTCAGTCACTAGGTATCCGTCGCATAGTGTATTTATACAAATACTACGAAATCCTTAGAAAGGTCAATGACTGACGTAATAGGTCAATCTGCTGACGTTAGGTTGGTATGTCGGTTACACAGGAAACATCGAAATGTCAGTCTTTTTGCACGGAGAGTTCATAAAAATTAAGAATTTATGTGACGCTGTGACAAAATAGGTTGGGTCATCTCATTGAGAGGATTGGGAATGCTAAAGAAATAATAACTGGTAGAATGGCATGTACATAACCGGTTCGACTGCGCCCGCACAGACGCATACATACTAATTTCATAAATGCTAAAGTTTGTTTGTTTGTCTGCCTATTTATTACTTTTTCACGACTAAACGGCTCTTAATTCAATTTGACGGGACGATTTAGTACATCACGAAAAAGGACATATACTAATATTTATCCCAAAATTTAACAATGTGCTAAGGAAGATGACATAGGTTAACGAGTTTGTTACCGCAAAGAACAACTTTTTAATAAAAACAATCTAAAATTGGAGACAAAAGGTCACTTTAAGGCCAAATACTAAAGATAAAACTTGAATACACACCTTCCAACAAGATCTTAGATTATGCTGAATTCTTATTTCATTATATATATTTATTTCATATTTGATTATATACGAGTATACGTACTTCATTAAGACTAGATTGAAAAAGTCGCCTGCCTGTACTCTTCGGTTTCACCTATTTCAGTCGCCAAGCAGCTTGTTTTGTAAGAGGTGTTCCGGTTATTGGTTGGAAATTAGGCAGTGAAATTACAGGATAAGAGGCAAAGAGTCTTAGTTCTTTCGAATGGCAACGCATGAGTGGTATCGCGGGTGTCTCATAACAACATTAAGTCTATAATGTATTTCATGTATGTATATAGTCGACTGCTTACCTACAGGTAGGTAGTTTGTTTGACAATCCAATTACATAAAAAAGTAAAATCTTTTAAATATCGGGTTGTACTCAAAGTTTACCTCCTTCCTACACGATAGATCAGGCAACCGAACGATGAATCCATGGAATTATATAAAAATACTATTAAACTGAGGCGACAGTTACGACTTTCTATCAGCTGGTTGTTTACTATTCCAAATCGTATGACAACCGATACATGCAATATATTCAGTAGTTGATTTGATTGAATATACAAAAATAAAAACATTCTCCATTTACACTCATAATTATTTTTTAATTTAGAAAATAATAGACTATAATATATATAATAGATTAATTTATTTTGTTTTAGGTAATGTAAACAAAGATATTTCAGTTATTTTAACCAAACGGTACTTCCGTTTGGTTAAAATAACTGAAATTAATTAATACTTCTAACAATTATACGTAGATATTAAAATAAGGCAGATAGGTATAAGTGCAGTAGGGATAAGTATTTGAAGTTACCAGTTACCTATCATGTATGTATCTCTCATGAATTTTCTTTATGGAAATATATATTACTAATGTCAACAGATATATTATTAAAATGAAAGTGCATCGTAATTTTTTGAGTAACCGGTTTATTTGAACATTATTTGATGGTACAAAAAGTTGACTCAAGGCATACGGCGGGGTCGTGCGGCTCACGCCCGCCCCGACCTCGCCTGCCAAAATAATAACCAATCAGACAATACAATAATTGTTCACCCAACGTGATCGTAACAATCGCAAAATACTCGTACGCGCGTCAGAAATTAATCTCGTGTTCAATTCACCGCTGACAAAAGAATCTCTTTATCACTTCAACTCGTTGAAGGGCATGTACTGTATTGGTCGTAAAAGTTACTTTGTTTGTAGCTACCACTAAGTAATTTAATATTAATTGCAATGCACTACTTAAATATAATTACCGATGATATCTATACTAATATAAAGAAGAAAAATTTGTTTGAATGTTCGGTGATTTTCCACATACATACATAATGCTACGACCAATATGAGCGGAGCCGCACTGAAAATGTTGAAAAAGAAAATGCATCGACATCGAGCTATAATACTACTTTTAGGAACTTTAAGGTATTAGAAAGAGTAGATATAGTTCAGTCATTTTTGGACAGATAAATAAAATTCCCTTTTATTTATCTAGGAACCCAAAAATGAGTGTTAGGGGGTATATATATAATAGCGATAATAATAATAGTTATACATATACACAACATTATCTAGTCTCTAGGTAAGAAAAGCTTGACGTTTTCATTATTTCTTAGTCTTGATATGTTTAGGTACTAGCAACTTAAAAGTATAATGCAATAATTATTATTCCATTAAGTTAAAATTTGGACCCGAAATTTAGTATACATTGTGGTTTATAAACATTTCAATTGCTGATTAAAACTATTTGTAAATGGGTTAGTGGATCAGGAACTATAATATCAGATTAGTTGATGCTCATTTAAGTTAACTCTATTAGTGGAGCGAATCGGAATTCGTGTTATATGAACTATCATCATTGTTTCACAGCCTTGAAACCCTGACGAAACAAGATTAAGGCTGTTCTGGGTTTAGTGCGGTAGACAAGTATATAAAATCTTCACGGTTCCGCATTTCGAAACCGAACGAACAATGGTGAATCAGTAATCGTAATACCAGTGGTTGTATGGTTAGTGGCAGTATTAAATCTACGCAATGTTCCAGTTACCGAGTCCAACGTATTTTTGTTTACGGGTCATTAGACACGCGATATACCTAGTTGCAATTATTATATAATATATATAATAATTAAATTAAATTAAATATTATATAATATACATAAAATTGCAATTAGTTATGTATTATTATATTCTATTTTATTTATTTTTAAATCATACTTAAAGATAACAATCATAGTGCTGTCATTATTAGTTTAATTTTGCAATAAAATTTCAATACCGTGAA